TCTCTCTCTCTTTGTGTTAAAAACCTCCTCGTACGGCCCTGGTTGAAGTTTCAGGTTCTTATCTGCCCATATTTCTGCATAATTTGCTTGTTCTGGCGCCCGAAACGTGTTAATTTCACTCCTGATTGATTTTATGAGCTCGCCACGCTCCGGCTGCACTGTACACTGTACACTGTACGTTTAGATTCGACCGATCAAGCGTAAGCATTCTCGTTTCGAACGTTACGTAAGCCCGAAAAATCGTTCCGAGTAGTCGATCGTTAGTTCTGAATTCTGAAGATTTCGTCTTCCGGACGTTCTTCCTTGCGATCGATTCGCAATCCTTTTATCGACTTTCACGGTTCAATTTCGGCATAATTTTTTTTTTTTCGGGCATCGCGAACACTTTTTCGCACGTTCGGATGGATGTGCGGCTTCGTGCAAATATTTTTTTCCTTTTTTTTTTCCCACGGGCTCCCGGAATTTTCCGCCTGGTCTGGTTTTCGACCGCGCTGTTTTAATTAACTCGAAAAGCCTAGCGTTCGCGATATCTATGAATATCGAGAACGATGGATCTAACGGTTTTTTAATCTATTAAGCGAATTAATCCGTGGGAGAGAAATTTGATGATTTATTGATCGATCGATTGTGCATCAGAAGCGAAACATATGCCGGGTGTCCCATTCGAAACGTTCCACGCCATTGCCTCCTAGACCAGTGGCGTAGACGATTAGCTTTAGATTAGGTTTAGGTTAGGTTAGGCTAGCCAACTTGGGATTTAGATTAGGTTAGGTTAGCCAACTTGTGATACGCGTACGTAATATTAGTAATGGCGAAAAAGACTCAAAGAAAGGAGTTGAAAACCCCAAAGCAAAGTTGTATAGTTTTGATTTACAAAGGCAGACTTGTGCTTATTTTCGTTTGTTTTTCATCGTTTTTCATCACGTTGGGCTGCTGTTATGAAAAATTGAAATAAATTGTAAAATCTGAATAAAATCAAAAATGAAAGCCTACAAATGTCGTTTAGGTTAGGTTAGGTTAGCCAACTTGTGATACGCGTATGTAATATTAGTAATGGCGAAAAAGACTCAAAGAAAGGAGTTGAAAACCCCAAAGCAAAGTTGTATAGTTTTGATTTACAAAGGCAGACTTGTGCTTATTTTCGTTTGTTTTTCATCGTACGTTGGGCTGCTGTTATGAAAAATTGAAGTAAATTGTAAAATCCGAAATAAAAAATCGAAAATGAAAGCCTACAAATGTCGTTAGGTTAATTTGAATTGTTTGATCATTTATAGCTAACCTAAGAAAATTTAAAACAAAAAACAACAAACTTTTTTGAGGGAAAAATAAATAAAAAACCTCAATCAAGAGGTACAGAAAAGAAAAAAAGATTGTTATCATAGACCATTCGTTATAGAAAAGTATATTTCAAGTAAAATTTACTTCGTTTTGAGCGACATATGTGGTCACAATTTTGGTTCTATGTAGTAAATGGAACTATATATTTTTCTTCAGATAGACAAATAGCTTCTATGACGAATTCGTTGACCTACTATATGTTGGTGTTTCAAGGCTATTCAAGATCGTTCACTGCCTTTCATAAGTTATTTATACTGAACGTACCAAGGAATTATTATCTTATCTTTCGAAATAGTGACCTCGAGCGTCAAATTAATTTATCTCTAAAGCACCTTCTTCAATGTTTCACACACACTCCCAAGTCTTACTTGTACACTTTCATTTTTAATTATTCAATACTTATCGTACATTTTATAATACACATTGTATACATACATAATGTATATATAACGTACACGTCAACAATACATTAGTCTTTGTTGTACAAAATATGTTTTACATTTATTGTAAATACAACAATTTATATTGTACATTAAATTTATACTTTTGTATCGTATAGTTCATATTATAAATATTTTACTATTTTTATCATACGAATATAATACTTGTCGGAAGATATCTGAGCTAGGATATATGATAAATCGACGTTCGAAAATTCGTCGTGTATTTATTTCTTCATTAAAGAAAACAAACTTGAGATCTCGAAAAAACGTCTAAGATTCATCAAGATTTGTGAATCATCACCCCCTCGAAACATTTTTTTTTCTACGATTCAGAAGATGATTGCGCGATGATGCGTTTCAAGCGGGACACCCTGTGTGCACGCACACACGATATTTGCAATCATTTCGTTTATTCCAATAAACTCGAGTTTGCGTCGTAATTCGTGTCTGTAAATTGAAGGGAAAACTTCAAACTGACTATTTCAGATTGTGTCGGCGTGAGAAAAA